AGAACAATCTACTTTGAAAAATAATAATGATACCCACAGATTTTCTTTCCTGTGTTTGTCTCTTCCCTCATCCACATAGCCAACTCCCCTATTCCCGACTTTCTTCAATTTCCTACATGTTTAATAATTCACTGTTTTCCTCTGACTTAAACATATAGATTTTCTAATTTGACCGTTTTCTTCTCCCACATTTAGTGATTTACTTTTCCTTATTTGCTTATTTTCACCTTCTTGTCAATTTGGGATGTGTTACAATTGTCTAAGTAAAATATTCTATCAGTCATGCTTTATATAAATGAATAATAATCATGAATTCTGTGATAGAATCCCAGTATTGTGGAGATGAATAAAAGACATAATCCATCTATTAAACCTTGAACAAACGTGGCCTTATTGACCTCGAAAAACAGTGAGAAAATTAGATAAAGTAGAAGTAAGCCAGCAAGAAGAAAGACAAAGTTGTAGAAGAAGCAATAAAGAGGAAGAACAGGAGGATGAGGAGAAGGAGAGGAAGGAGAAGAAGCAGCACTCTGAGTACCACTGGATGTTCTACACTGAAGGCAACTCCAGTCATTTCAAACAACCAACTGTTGAACAAAGGCTTTATGCAACAGGACATGAGAGGATGAAAATGACTAAAACCCATTATGTACATGAATGAAAACTTCAAAGAATACTAAATAAATAAATAAATATCCAAAATACTGTAATCTTCATTAGCGAAATAATAAATAGTAAAAATAAAAAGGTTGATACTTCCTGATGCATTATTTTGCAAATAACAACACATAAGAAAGAAAAATTCATTTCCCAATGACAAAGCACAAGTGCAGAAGGAGTATATGGTAGGAAGAGCAGGCAAGTGGCTAGCAACACGGAGATATGAACAGGACTGAGCATCCAGGACCCACATGAGGTGGAAGCCAGAACCCTTAGTCTGAAAGATCAGAAAATGGAAATGAACTCATATGCACAGCCACACTGTACCTAGAAGGAGTTCAAATTCAGCATTAGGAGATAGTCAATGAATCCATAAAACACAATGTCTCGAGACCATAGGAAAAGACCCACCTGTAGACTTAAAACTCACATATGAAAAGGTGGCACCAGACTCACCTTCCTTTAAAAAAAATCTGTCAAACTGTTATTAGAAATACTTATACCACTTTCTATCCCAGTAACAGTGTACAGGAGTTCCAATTGTTTTCTGATGTTCATGTTAATTTTCCAGGTCCTACTAAGGGGAATAAAATCCTGGTCTACTGGTTTGTTTGTTCCTCATATAAATTCGTGTGTGTGTGTGTGTGTGTGTGTGTGTGTGTGCATGTGTTTGTCCTCATACATAGGTGTGTGTATGCACATGTGTAACAGTGTAACATGTGTAACAGTGGAATTCAAGCTGCTGATTGGGAAGGGTCTCTGGTCAACTGTGCTAAACTCACTTATTTCCAGATTCCTTCTTAATTTTATCTCCTCTTAATGAACTCAATCCTATCCTTATCAATCTGGCTTTACAGTTAAATGGCTGGCTCGGAATACTGGGGGTGGGGTGGGTTTGACATTTGCTTCCCTTTATTGCCAGTTAGGAAAGAAATGAAGCATATCTAATTTTAAAACGCTTCAGGAAAATATCAATTGTTATTAAGACAAAAGCTGACTAAACAAAAATAGATCATTTTAGATTTTGAAATCTAATTGTTATTATGAAAGGAAACTTTGAAAGGTCATTTTCTTGACTCACTACATAATGTACCCTGCCTTCACCAAAGCTAACTCAGAAGCAGTTAGAAATGTGTAACTATAGAAAGGTCAGTTCATCAGAAAGACAAGGACATTTTGTGTTCATTCACTTAATTAGAGTTTCAAGATACAGAAAGAAAAAAATCATGACTGACCTAAGAGAGGAAAAGTAAATTACTGTCATGTTGAGAAAACATAGTGATGCTATTTGATAGTTTGATAAAACCAGGAGAAAAAAAATCAGGAAAAGGCCTGGAACATCACCAGCTAACATGATCAAAGCATTGGTAAAATTACATGCAAAAATTGAGAATTTTCTAATTTTCATGCAATGTCACCTATTTAGACCATATATCACTCCCCAAAATTATACTTAATGAAACTCTTGCAGGGCTTATTATCTAATCACAAGAGAATAAAATTTTATATCAATGTAAAATATTGTTTTTGAAAACTCATTCAAAACATACTTCTACACAACTTTCAGGTCAGGAAAGATGGCACAAGAAAAATGAAAAAAGCATTTGGATTAAATAATGATTAAAATATGAAACATCAAATTTTGAAGATGTACTTAGAGGGGTACTCCTAAGGAAGGGTGTCTTTAAGACCTTGTATTTAAAAAGAGAATTTATTAAAGTCAGTGACATGTTTAATCTGAAGAAACAAGAGAAGGAAAAGTCTAGAAAAACAATTGTGGCAAGAAGAAGAATAATAAGAGAAAAAGAACCAAAAAGGTTAAATAACAGCAGAGAAACTTAAAGAAGTCACATAACTTCTCTCATATGTGAGAGAAAAGACACATACAACTAGAAAGTGGGGCTTAAAGGTAATAAACATATAAATCATTAACATCAGGATTGAAACATGGCTGATTCCAACAAATCCAACAACTATGAGGAGAATAACCAGGAAGTACTTTATAAACATTAGGCCAGTGTTGACAAGCTACAAAAATAAGTAGGTTCTGTGAAAAACAAAATTTGGCAGACCCTATAGGAAGAAAAAAATCAAATATTAACAGGTTGGTTATATTCAACTCATAACATGAAAGTCTCCTCACCATTGCCAGCACCACCACAACAAACCAAACTTCAAACCCGGAGAGTTTCATTTATGAATTTTACAAAGTAGAGAAGGAGTCTATCAGTCTCATATTCATGCTACTGTATGGGCCACACTAGTTTGATCCGTGGGTTATAAATGAATAAATACAGTATGGGAAGTAGGGAGGGTGATAGGTTTAGAGGGGCAAGAGTGGTGTGGATATGTATAAAATTTTCAAAGAAAAAATAAAAGTATTTACAAAATTAAGTAGGAAGAAATATTTCCCATTTTATATGTGAAGACAGTATTTCCTGAAAACCAATAGTGTTTCTCATGAGCAAAGATGTAATAAGTTCTATAAGTTTATACATATATACTTATATATAACATAATATATAATTACATACAAGCTTTTACATGTCAACAAAGACTCAATAAAGTGGGTATATAAGAGATGAGTAGAACTTTGATAATAAAATACTGTATTCAGAAAACCAAACTTTAATTATAAAAATTACCCTTTGAGGCTATGTTGGAGGAAAAATAATGGAGAAAAAATAAGGGTTTAGCTTTTGTCAATTTTTTAAAATCAATTTTAAAGTAATCAGTTTCATAATGGCTTTTGTGTTTATATACATCATTATACCCTGTCTCAAAAACAAAGAAAAAAACTTAAGTGTGAAATTCTTATCAAGTTATGTTAAGTGGTAAAAATGAACTCCTTTTGTTGCTGGCAATAATTTAAGGTTAGATGTCCACCCATACCGCTGTGAACCCAGGACAAACTTGTAAGTACATGTGATAGCCATTGGTATAACTACTAAATAAAGGTAAAATAGACTGGCAGGGTGGCCAAGAGGGTAAAAGCAGCTACCACCAAACCTGAACACCTGACTTCCACCCTGAGAACTCACATGATGAGATGTGAGAACTGACTAGAACTGGTTACCCCAGGCTGTCCTCTGATATCACAGGCGTGCTATGGCTTGTGCATAGCCCCCACACTCACACACATAAACAAAATAAAGATTAAAAACAGAAACACATTCACTAAGAGGTTCTTGATGTTTAACTTATAACCAGTGAAAATACACTGAAGTTTTGTTTTGTTTTGTTTTGCAAATTACTGTGTCCATTTTAATTTTTGAACCCTGTATGTGCTTTCAGAAGACAATCTACATATAAGTCACAGGGGAATAACCTGAGCAATTTATATAAGCTCAGACAAAATATTGAAATTGAACCAATTTTATAACTATTTATATACTATAATCATATAAATACACAAATATTCACACAGACTTATTCACCTGTAATGCATCTTCTTTTCACATATACAAGCAAATACCTTTTATGAAAAATACCCTCTAAATACAAATATTCACCAAGTATTACAAAAGCAGCATTGCTTTTAAAACCTTAACTATTTGCAAATGGATTTTAACAAAACATAAATGAGTCTCTTTTAAACAAAATGCTGTAAATTCACATTCCATAATCCAAATTGAGTTTTTTCTTCAACATGATTTGTGAGTCTTTTGTTTGTAAACAGCTCGAACCCTGCTCAAAGATATGAATAGAAGGTGTAAAATCAATTTCTGCCTCACTGCATTCTGCTCTACATTGCATAGCACAGCTATTAAACATCACATGTGTTCAGGGGCTGGCAGTCAGCTCTGCTCTCCCCTCCTGCCACTCTGCATCAGTGCTGCTCTTAGTAAGGTTGCCATGTATGAGATGAGGCTTTACCTACCACCTGCAGCTACTTCACCCTCACATGTTCTATCTTAATCACCAGGCTTACAATAACAACATGGGCGCAGTAGATAACTACCCTTCATCTAGAAATGTTGCTGAAATCACTCAGGAAACTTTTTAAGAATAGATAACCATTGGTATTAATTATAACAATGAGGGTTTTATTTTCCCTAACAATCTAGCTCCATGGATATCTTCCAAAGTTTTGTAAGCACACTCCTCACGTGGCTATTCTCAGGAAGGTTTGTCTTTGTTTAATATTCTTTCCTACCAGGTCACACTTTTGATATGGCTTGTTGAAAACTTTTGGCTCAAATTCGGACAAAACAATGCTAGGTTGGCAAAGAATAAAGAACACAAAATACCAAAAACAACGATTTTTAAAGCATTTGACAATTTCATGAAAAAAATGCAGAAATGCTCTTGCTAGTCAACTAGATTCAAAGTAACCTTACCCCGGCTTTGTGTCATTCACAACACAGTGATAGGTAAATGTTCCAAACATTTGAACTCCTAAAATTCCATACAGAAGAAGGAAGAAAAGGAGGAAAATGGAAACACTCCAAATTTGTTCTCCTGACCGCCTAGGGAAAAGAGAAAAGTTAGATAAGATTGATTTAATACAACCCCCAAAATTCCATAAATTGTCCCTTTAATGTATGCACCAAACTGCTTACTTTAAAATATTTGTAATTCTGGTCCTCGGCAGTTCGAATCGGAAATAAATCCTGAAGGCCCGGATCATAATGAGTGGCCGTGGGATCCGAAGCATACCCCAAGGTGACATCTGATCAACTATGTCAGCTATTTCAAATGCCTACAGAGGAAGACACACACAGCTTAGGTTTCCCCTGGCATCGCTTATTGCAGCAGTGAAATTACTGGTAACACAGGAATGTGTACCCTGTGCCTTGAATGTAGCCCGTACCTACATTGTATCCTACCAATGATCAAATCTCAACATCATAGCTACCTAAAGAGAGACAAAAACATAAACCTGTGAAAGTGCCCTAGATCTCCCTTACTAGTTCTTCCAGCAATAGTTTTTTTTTAAATCATAAATTAAAATGGCCAACTTTTGTGTTATTTCTCACTTACAGTGTCTTTGAATATCTAGAAAACAAAAGAAAAGGGAAAGTGTTAAAATATTACTAAAATATGGAAAATTGTCACTTCCTAGCAGAAGTAAAATAATGACAAAAATCTCACCTAACATGCAATGGTTTATTAGATGGTAAGGACACATGAGTATGAGAGATGAAATCCAGTTACAGGAGAGGTGAACCTCATACAAAATGAATAAGGACAGCCACCAAGAAGAGTTTGGGAGATGAAATACACATTTTTATTTTTAATTTCTATTATTAAGTGTGTGTGTGTGTGTGTGTGTGTTTAACACATGTGCGATGTACACAGGTAAGTGGTCTGAGACAGCCTGAAGGAGTCAGATCTTTCCCTACACCATGTAAATCTCAGGAATCTAACTCAGGAAGTCAGGCTTGGCAGCAAGTACTTTTAGCTGATGAACCATCCAGACCAATGCCTGGTCTGAATGTTTTAAACGAAGACTAGAAGAATATGGATCTGACTTACAATATTCTACTACAAGTTAACAATAATGCATTGATCATTTGATTTTTTGTTAGAAAGGTAAACCTCATGTTGGTTTCTTAGTGAAATCAATCAAAAAAATCAAATCAGAACTAAAAAAACATAGTGACTTTACTTAAATGCAAAATCATGCCTGAAAGAATCTGAGACTGAGTTATACTATTTCCCAGTGAAACCCCTGTAAAAGCTTCTTCACACACACTCTCTATTTATTAAAATACAACATTCATATTTGTAATATATTTGGTGTTGTCCAATATCTAGCTCAATATTAATAGTCTAATTTGTTTTTAATGAGGTTTTAGACCAGAACTTATAATTTCCTAAATTCAACTTTTGATTTTAAAAATTAGATACAGCATTCCAAATCTTTTATTTCATTGACAACATGTTTATTGTTGTTTCATGAGGAAGAACTATCTTCAATATTGGTTTTAATTTCTGTGAATAACTCCCAATTATAATCAACAATAATTTAAATGTTGTAATTAGAGTTTTTCTATCCACAAACATGTAAAATTAACAATATAGGAAATTATACATTCAAATTTGGAAAATATTCTTCAGTGTTTTTAGGTAAATTTTGAATGCAAAATAATGCCCACTTTTTAAAACAACTCTGTAATTTAAACATATTTAATTACCTGTAACACAAGGGAAACCCAAAGGCAAAAGACCATGAATCCATCAAAAACACACCAGCGATCCTTCACATAGGAGGTATCACCCTGAAAACAATTACCACATGAATTGTCAGGCAAAATAAAAATCAATACGTATCTTTTTTTAAATTCTCTGATGGGAATAGTCAAAGGTTATCACAGTATAAACCATTCACATTTTCGTATCACAATGAAACAGAACTTCAAAAAGAGTATTTCTAGCACTTTAAAATGGTAGGTTGTTTGTTTTTTAGCAAATAATTGGTGAAATGGGACTTTGCAGAATTCTGAGATCAGGATGTTAAAATTTGTTCTCTTAGCCTCCCAAACCCAGCATGTACTAACAGAGGGAAGCTAATCACGTCAGGTCTTGTCCTGGAAGACCCAGAGCATACTACAGGCACCACGAAGCCTTTAAAACTGCTTGACCAACCACTGCTAGTAGGAGAAATAACCAGGAAATAACGGTGGAGGAGGAGACTTCCTGAATTTGCAAAGAAAGGATATGTTGACTTAAATTGGGAGGGTACAGGATACAGTCAAAGAAAATGAAGATGTATTGCTTTCTTTATTAATAGGGTCTCTATCCTGAGATTAGAATGTATACTTCAGTAAAATGGGATTTGAGATGAAAATTTCCCTTTGGAATAACAAAGTGTCAATAAAAGTGGAGGGCAAAGAACACTTGGGCTCTAGTTAGAAATTGTCAGGCTTGTCAAGGAGGATATGAGTTATTCAAGACCTGTCAGTTTGCATAAAGGTAAACAGTTGAAGGCTGCCAATCAATTATCCAGTGCAAGGAAGTATCTGAAAGTGCCTTGCAAATCTTAATGAGGAGATACACCAAATGCATTTAGGATACATTTAGAGGGATATTTTTGCAGTCGCAAATGATATGCACCGGGAGCTTCATGTGCATGTGATTTATTGTCCTAGCTTCCCAGCGCCTGTCTGTTAGTATGTCTTAGCATTGTTAATTATTACTCCAACAGTGTTCAGTAGATGCATGCTAATTATTATTATTATTATTATTATTATTATTATTATTAATTATTTATTTTGTTTTACAAGGCAGATTTTCTCTGTGTGTAGCGGGCTATCCTGAAACTCACAGAGCTCCACCTGCCTCTGCCTCCTGAGTGCTGGGGCTAAAGGTATGCACCACCACCATCTGGCTTTGCATGCTACGTTTACCTAGGTCTATTGCCAGATAAGAAACAGACAACTGAGACTCATTTGAAGAATTCAGATTACCATACATGGATGGGATGATCTTCAGCACCTCAAATATTTCACATCATTTCAATTGGTTGGCTTTTCCTTTAGTGATTTAGTCAGTAGAAATACTTCTGGGGAAAGGCAATTAAAATTTTTCTCAGGCACAAATTATATCCTGTTATTCATGGATGAAAATCCTTCATTCATCTTCACTCACCATAGTAGGAACTCTTAGGACACACCAGGCCCTATCAGAGACCACCTGACTCTACAAAGCCTTGCCATCTGCTGCCTGAGTACAACCTGTATGTCACTTTAGACTCCTCAGGCCTCTCCTAAGTACCAGCTGCTCCTTGTGTGTGTGTGTGTGGGGGGGGGCTTCCTTTTCTCCCTCCTCTATGCTCTCTAAATACCACACCTCTTCATCTTTCAATTTTCCGTTCCTTCGAGAGATTTTTGATACCCTAGAAGCATATTTTTCATTTTCTTTGTGTGTGTTTCTAAATACATACATACATAAATACATCCTGCTCAGTCTATATAATGTTACTTGTACGTATCTGTTTTTAGGGCTGGTCATTTAAAAGAGAGCAAGGAAGGGTACATGGGAGAGTTGGGAGAGAAGAAAAGGAAGGGGAAATGATGTAATGTTAGTATACTCTTAAAAGTAATATAAATAAAAAATTAAAATGAAACATCCTTTTGCAAATTGTTACAAGTGAAGAGACTGAAGAACTAAGAGGCAATGGCATACTGCTAGCAAGTGAATTAAATAGGAAAGGTTTTTAGCAGACAGCTACTTAATGTTTTTAAAACTTTCAGCGATTTAATTGAAGACAGCAAAGCAATTCATTTGAGAAATACGGGGTCTCCAAGACATCTCTGTGGACAGATATATTTTTATTTTGATGTTTTGTCCTTACAAATGTCTATATTTTTCATGCAACTATAAAAACAAGACAAACTCACAGACATAAAACTACAAAACAATAAAATTTTAATTAGTAACATAAATTTATTTGTGGCAGGTAACATTTTGCTAACATTGAACTTTATTAAAACTTTCACAATCAAGAATGGAATGTCAAACCCAACTTGCTCAGATTGTCTTTTTATGACATGCATGCTAAAGAATGGTATGGTACCAAATGATAAAGCTATGGTTTGGAATTAATGTCATAAAATCAACAGTTGCCATCACTCACTTACTGCTACACTCTAATGATGAAGGATCAAGACAATGAAAAATACTTAAACTTCAGCTCAGGACAATCAGATCTCAGATTGAGCAGAAATTTCAGCTAGCATTTAAACACAAGTTCTAATGAGGTGATGTTCTGACTACTTCAATATAATATAAGCAATGAAGAATAAAGTTGACACTACATGTGCATCTCCTCTAATTATCCCTAATTAAAAGTAGAAATATACTTATCTGGTTTTTATTTTTAATTTGTAATTTCTTATAGATTGAAATCCAAAAACTATTTTTTGAGCTTAGTAAACAGTTAAATCAAATACAATATGTGAGCCTGTGTGAGTCCCTATTCTGAGTAAACAACTTAAAACTATTTATAACAATCAGGAATATAAACATCAACTTGGATGTATCCTACCTTAGGAATTACTGTTAACTCATTTTATACAATGATGGTGTTTTTGGATAGCAAATGAAAACATTATCAGCAACTTATAGGGAATTATTTCTGAAGTGAGTTAATAGCTCAGATTTACTTTAAAATGAAATGTAGCTGTTCAGTTGTTGATCTTTATGCAGGCTATGGTTAATAATTTTATAATAAAACATTAGAAATGCATACCACAGTGCAATGGCTGTCATGATTCTCCATTAAGGACGGAGCCACAATATATGATGGATAAAGAGAAGGGAAGAGAGTGGCAGCTAACTCTATGTCAAGAATCATTTTTTAAGGACTCCCAGTTCTTGCATGGGATCTCATGTGGCCCCAGCACCTCCCCAATACATAAGAGACAGACTGAGTCAATGTGTCATTTTCCAAGCTTTAAAGCCTACACTTCACTACTCTCTCTAAATGAGACAATGTAAGCTACTCCTGGGACAGTATTTTTTCATATTCCTAATCTCTGAACAGGTTTGTGTTACAGAACCAAAACCTGTGGCAAAAATTGTCTCTCCTTTATTTTTTTACTTTTATTAAGTTTAAATTTATTTTTATTTCCTGAGTACTAATTAGATATACATATTCTTTTCTTTGCAGTTCCCAGGTTCCTACATCTCTCATTTCCTCGTTTATCCTTTTATATCTTCAAAACACCCAGGTATGAAATCCAGCTAAATGTCACCATGCTCTGATTTTATCATGTGACATTTATCTTGTGTTCAATATATCAACAAATACTAAAGTGCCTCCTCCAGGGACCATAACCATGATAGGCTGTGGCTTTAGCTCCAGATGGCACAATACACCCAACCCTAGACTCATGGAGCATATACTTAAAGCAACTAGCTCCTTAACGGATATCCTAAGGCTTTGTACCTTACAAAATGCAATTAACTTTAAAAATATTCTTGTGTACTTATTTCTACCAACTTTTGGAGTTATGCTCTTTAAAAATTTCAATCTCAATAATATAAAAAAATGCACTGTATTTGGACATTCATACAAAAATATTACTGAGTTGATTAAAATATTCAATGAACTTTGTTAATTTAAATGACAGAAAATACTCACCTTGACAATACCCCGGATATGCATTTTTGCTATCATCTCTGCGGTGTAGAGAAACATCAATAAAGTGTCCAAGGTGAAGGTCACATACTGAAGGGGAGGATAGTGCTCGAAGGTCATGGGTGTGTTCATGCACACTGAGATGACGCTGATGATGGCACAGATGCGGAGCAGAGAGTGTACCCACTGCAACGAAGGCAGAGCTGCTTGTGACACTGTAAACTGAGACCTTTGACTTGTCTGGGAAAGCACACTATTTGGAAGACATAGGTTAAAATAGTCCACTCGTGCAGAGACGAGGAATAAGGAACATCTACTGAGTTCACATAGCACACTCAACATTTCCACACATGTTACAGTGTTTATTTCTCAAAGCAGCTTATTTTCCACAGGAGCACACCAAGATTCTGAAAAGACTAAGAAACATTCCTGTGATTATACATTAATAAATGCTAAACCCAAGATTAATTTGAAGGCCATCAAACCATTCTGTGGGAAATTCTGGTTCTCTACACAATGAGGCAACTCACTCTCAATGAACCTGGGTGTGACTTTTCTTTCTTTTGTTACCATAAAGCACCCAGAATTAACAGCCATGTCCTATTTACTGTAACTTCTCTATCATCTTAAATAATGGTCTACTATAGCACATCATAAATGACTTTTTAAATGGGTTAATATAGGACACTCCTACACACAAGTTTTTTTTTTTTTTTTTTTTTTTTTTTTTAAGATCACCTATAATCTCCCTATATAAAAGACATTTCTGGGCTAGTGAGATCCCTTTTGCCATACAAGCCTGGTGATTTAAGTTCAATCCCTGGAACCTATTATTGAAGGATATAATAAATTTCAAAAAGCTATCTTCTGACCTCCACTCTCCACACATCCACCTACACACACACACACATCCACCTACACACACACACACACACACACACACTAAAAATAAAAATAAATTTTAATACATTTGACAATCATTTCTAAAATTATCATTGTAGAAAAAAGATAATAAGTGAGGCTGTCTCTCTTTTTCAGAGAAAATTTTTTGTACATATTTAGAGTCTGCAATCTCTTTTAAAATTTAAAATTAAATTTCTGTGAAATTCTGGACACATGTTGATATACTGTCTAAAGTTTTTAATTAACCCTAAAATAAGAAGAGATAAAATAAATGGGTATATATTTAATGTAATCACCTACAATCTTTCATTATAAAAATAATGCCTAGGATAAAAAAGGTTAGCTGTATCTACATACTAACATCACAGAATTAATATTGGTACTGAATTACTCAGTGCACAATTTTCAAACATAATTTAAGTGTTATTTATTGACTATCATCTTGGATGCATGTGTGTGTGTGTATGTGTGTGTGTGTGTGTGTGTGTGTGTGTGGTTTGCTAATTCACTAAATTTATGCTCCTATTTCAGGGGTTCAGTTTGATAATGGATGGATCATGCAGCTCCATAAACCAGCAAACCTTAAGCTGAAAATGAAGAATGACTGACGGAACTTTGAGAAGACTCAGACACAATATTTTCATAAAAACATAGTGCCAGAAATTCTATAACATAGAAGACATATATCTCAATTCATTTTAAGGGTTGGTGTACTGAAATTTTCAAACATAAAGTTTGAAAAATCCTCAATAAATGTCAGAATGTAAATTCAACCCTATCTGGACTCCTCCAATATAAAAAATAAACCTAATTACCAGGAGATTCGAAAGATGAGCTATTTTACAACAAATTAGCTTTGAACTTAAAAAAATTATAATTAATCATTAGTAATTTCTGTTAGTGACACTGGTGTTACATCTATAGTTCCATCTTTCATAGTTCTTAGGAAATTTTTAATGGGCTAGACATGAAGAGACTGTTAGTGAGAGATTTATTTTCTAGGCAGTTTAGAAGACCTACTATGCATTCGGAAATCCTGGTCTCTGGGGACATAAAAATAATGTAGTCAATACATAAACAATTTGTAGTATAGTAAGCAAGATATTATACATGGCATATGCAGTTGCTCCTCAAAATGTGTCCCCACAGTAGATGGTCAAATATGAGGGGGCCTAGGTACCTTCCACAAATAAGTAATGTTTACATATACCTTACATATATTTTCTGGCATAGTTTAAATAATTTTAGGATGATTCATAATACTTAAAATTTTGTAAAATCTTGTTGTACTGATCTATTTCTGAAAGAATAAGAAGGAAAAGTACATCTATGTTCACTATAAATGCAAGTTTTGTCAAATATTTTCATTCTGAGGTTGATAAAAGTAGGTACAGAACAGAGGGGCAAGGACGTGTGTGTGTGTGTGTGTGTGTGTGTGTGTGTGTGTGTGTGTGTGTGTGTGTGTGTATGTGTGTGTCTACGTGTTCACTTATATTTATAGACAAATCTAAAACTGTGTAAGTTTATTCTGTCTGTCTGAGGAGGGGGGAATGTAAAATCCAGATAGCCCTAATGGACAAGGTGGATTTAACTTATCAAATGAAATGAGATGTGACCTTGAAGGCCAGAGCACAAGAGTAACAGGTACCAATACTAATAAGCCAGACAGTATAGGATAGCAGAAGGTTCAGGGGATGATATAGAGACACAGGAAAGAGGTGGTCAGGAGAGAGCTGTTCAGGAGAGAGCCTGCTCATGAAGAGCTGCTGATGTAATACCAACACCTTTTAATTTACAGTGGGAGTCCCAGGGATGTTTCAATAATTATAAAGCAAAAGGACAATGCCATCAAAGAGTGAAATATACAAAGACCTGTGAGCAGGCTATGGAAGTCTTCCAGGGGCAGGCTAGTGAAGCTCAGGAGGAAGCCAGCCTGACTCTCTTTGTCCTGCTCAGGGAAGGACCAAGCACTGAGGGGGCCTCAGGTCAATTTGTTTCATTACTTCAGCACTTATGAGTTTAAGAAGAAAGTCAACCCTATGTTTCTTTATGGTGCTGAATTCCCAAGACTTAGGAGTGAGCTTCCTGGCTCAGTCCCAACCACTATACCCTCTAATATGCAGCCATGTTTGACATAATAATTCTTCCTCTCATGCTCAACATGGATGAACTTGTGAAATACTAGGCACATGTTCTGAGTCACAGGGTTTGAATCAAAGTAAAGACTATTTAAAAATGAACAGTGTCTTGTAGCCTTCTCCACCTAAGTAAATTACTATTGAACATTGACTTCCAATCAATTAGATCTAGCCCTAATCTAGAAGAAAGTAATTAACTCAGTCTTAGTAATCTCCATTAAGTGATAAAGAAAGCATGTGGATAACAGTAGTAGCTCATCTTGGGTCAGCCTGGGCATGGAATTATCTCTATACTGTGTGATTTGAGGACAGTGTGTCCATAGCAGGGAGGGGATCAGAAGGCAGAGTACAGACTTCTTACACTGTATCTTCCTATGTGAGGACCTCATAGCGACACTCCATCCTTCCAATTTGAATTATTCCCAATTCAACCACCAGACTCCAACACTCATTCACTTTCTACTGTGGCTCAACCACAGTTCAAAGCTAAAGACCCATGAATTTTGAACTTATGAATGAAATTTCTCTTATATCAGCATGTGCTTTTCCAAACTTCAGAAAGGAGACTTACTGGCTTATTAATCCAGAGTATGTCAGCGTTGTCTGACAGAGATTCATCGGGACCAAAGTCAGTAACTGGCTGGGTTTCCACCCTGGAGCTTTGCTTCCTTTTGAGCATGCTGAAGTTAGCTTTGGGAGGCAAGCACAAAACCAAAATCTGGGAAAAGGAGAAGAGAAAGCTTTATTAGCTACCTAACCTACCTCCTTTCCCATCAAAGGCATCGAGTCCTTCACACATGAGTTGTGCACTGGTAGATCATACATGTGCTCTATGGCACTGTATATAAAAATGCACATATCTAAACACAGAAAAAGAATGAGATAAAATTAATATTAATAAATCCATTTTTCCTAAACCATATGAATTTCAAAAACAGCTTAGAGACAATTGATGTTAAAAAGCTAGAACAAAATTATTTTTTCTCATTAGGAACACAGACTACTAGAAAATTTTTTACTCCGTGGAGCCACTACATGGCCACGGATTTCCTATCCTGTATTAGTATGTTATTCACATGCTTGTCCTGTTTCAACCATAATCCCAAGATGATTTTTCAATTTTGTCCTTCAGAAATGTTGAAGGACACAGAGAATAGGGAGAGAAGCTCCCAGCAGTTGGAAGCTTTTTTCCATTTTTTAATCAGTGACCATCTAAAGTCTTTTTGCTTTTCTAAAGTTAATTCTTCATCAACTGCCCCTGAAGATGAGATGCTGGATTGTCAACCTGTTTACACATGTCCACATCATCAACATCCTATTATTTATGTCACCTCCCTGTGGACATTGCGGCTACTTTCTAAACTTAGCAGCCATTGAAGAAGGGGCTACTATACATCAAATGACAAGTAAGAGCAGCATGACAAGAGGAATTTTCAGGACACAAGTGCCTGACCAGCCTACAATCCAAAGTAACACTCCCATTTGATTAATACTATATTGAGCCCTGCTTATCTGTTTCTGTTTTTTCAGACAGGGTCTCACTCTATAGATCTAGCTTGGCTGAAATTAATGTTGATCTGGCTGACTTTGAAACTGTGGCCTCATGCTTCTGTGTTTTCCCTTCTTTGCAAAATTATATACAGTATAACCAGCACATTGGGTTCAACATTTTACAAATGCTTCCACATGGTAAGACCTGAACACATTCTAGACTTCAATAAGTAAGAAGGATCAGATAGGATTAAGTTTTAAAGATAAAAGCGTTTGTGATGAGTTTTGGATAAGAATTGTTTGGAGCATTTAGTAGTGATATTTTATTTAACGTTAAAATTGTTTCTTTGTTGTTGATTTTTAAGTTTTTGTTTAAGATTTGGTGTTGCCACATAGCCCTGCCTATTTAGAACTTACTATGGTAGACAAGGTTGGCCTCAAGGAACCAATGATCCTGTTGCCTGTCTCTCAAGTACTGGGACCACAGAGTACACCAAAGAAATGCCTATGTTTTGTGTATGCATAAGAAATTCCAGTCTTGAGGCAGGTGACAACTTGACCAATGCTAGCTAAGCAAACTTGAGATTGAAAACAAGTCCGGTATGATTACAAAGCTTCAAGTGTTGAGAGTTGGCCATGGGCATGCTTAGCATTCTTAGGAGGACAACTGAAGGCAGATGACAGAGGACCTGACTCTCCAGGCAAGAGACAGTGATGGGAATTTCAAGTCAGGAAAATGTAGCCATTTCAATACCAGGAAAACCCACTCACTCCCTCTCCTTCCCTGTGCTCCATGGAGTTCAGGAAGGAAACTCATCAAGGACAGTGAGTAACATTTAGTTCCCCTTAGGCAGAAGTGGAACAAAAATGAGTTTGCAAGGAGTGTAAATATATGCACTTGCAATTTTCACGGGGAAAGAAAATAAAATACAGTTCAGAACAAAGAAATTTTGAATATGTTTCTCTGTGTTTGAGGGTCTGTTTGTCTTTGCTGAATTCTCCTCAATCCATCTGAGTAGATGACTTTTCCTAACCTTTCAATTCCCAGATAAAAATTAAGCTACTTGTTTTTAAAGTGTGCAATGTATTTCCAAACTGTTGTTACTTTGAACACAGAATTTAAATTTGGGCTTTGCAGTAGGTTTCACTAATTAATTTTAATTTTACATAATTGGAGTTAGGGACTCTTGACATCCAATGTAAATGTATGCAAAATATTCAAATGATACTTATTCTCTGATTTACATTGGGGTTGGGGGTCACATCTGGTAGCCTTAATTTGAGATGTCTCTTAAATGATAGGCACCTACTTCTCCAAAGAATGGTTGCAAAATATTTTTGAAATGCTTTAACAAGACAAAGGAGGAAGAAAGTGGTTCCAGAATGGCTTTCAAAGATTACACAAAGAATTTTAGAGACCTAACACTTATCACTTTTTCACAGGGACAGGGGAGATTGATAGACATGTGAATTTCATGCACCTTTTATTACCAACATTCTACCTGAAGAAAAACTGACTTTTGACTGATTTATCTACAGAAATATACATAATTTATTTTTAAGTATCCTGTTGGCTATATTTGATACATCAAAACAGTTAGACTATAATTGAATGACACCAGATGTCTGTCACTCTCATTGATGTTCTCTTCAATTGCTGCCAACATGTTACCAAGTCTGACAGTGCCCATGAAATGATCTGTCCAAACTCCAAAGAATCCACAAATACATTAAAACTTATCAAGCAGCTCCAGAATCACTGGAAGTTTGACTCTTTTAGTAATATTGAGCAGCACATAAAATATTTAAGCAATAAATCATCATTACCCATGCATATATGAACTCACAGAGACTGAGGCAGCATGCACAGGGCCTGCACAGGTTTGCACCAGATGGGGATCTAGAACTGAAAGGAGAAGTGGACATATGCCTCATGCCTAACCCAGAAAAAATCTCCAATTTATAACCATTTGCAATTAAAAGCTTAATTTCTTTCCAAGGGAGTCTCAATGAGGAAACAAACGATTCTTTAGGGTAGGTTGTATGCCCAGCAGTAGATGGCCAACAGAAAACAAACTCAATGGTATGTTTGGAGGTTCCTTGTCTCAAAGTGTTATGTCAGGGCTTTTCTTTTATTAAAATTTATTTTATCATTATACCTTAGGTGCCTGTTTGTTTTCTAATGAGATATAGAAAAGAATGGATCCAGACTGGGAGGGCATGGAGGTGGAGAGAACTAGGAGGGGGTAAAGGGAGGGGAAACCATAATCAGAATATATTATTTAAGAAAAACAATCTATTTTCAATAAAAGGAAAAATATTCAAGCAATAAAATAAATTCAAGCCATGAATGTACAAAGAATCTCAGATTAATTTAGAGCAGCTGGTCATTGCAATCATCTTTTTGCACTAGGTATTGCTTGACACTTTTGTTCATGTTTAGTCAATAAAACAGAGCACAGAAGACTATTAATTCCCCATAAAGAAAGATCAATGTGGATATTTAAGTATCCTAGGTGAGCTTTCTATTTTGATAGGAATTGCTTCTGTGTATTTTTTCCTTATCAGTATTATGCACTAATAAACCAATAGATCTATTTTGTTTCCAGAAGTGTCCTTGATAAGGCAGTGCACTAGGTTTGAAAATCATGGCTTTCAAAAGCCTTTTCATACTTATTAGAAGTTGATATTTAAATAGTTAAATATTGAAAGAGACTTCATAGTTGTAATATGTTCATTGATAAATCTTTTATTCAGAAATAGCTAACAGAAACTCGGGAAAAAATATTCTGCTTCCTTCTTCTCATTAAATGCTCAAAGTCTAGTTAATTCCTGAAAGCAATAGGTATATTTTTTCTTATTTGATTCCTACCCTCTTGTCAAAAGTCAAAATGGAAATATTTAGTTTTGTTTTTAACTGTGAGGTGTTTGCAACACCGTGGCACATTTTATCTTCTTGGAGCTATTGGATATGGAATTTGAGATTTTCTGTCTTTGAAACATGGTTTACAAGATTGTATTCCTCTACCCATCCCCATTGCCATACTTAATGCCTTCAATAACCATAACCCTCAGCTAGTGTCCCACTGCCATTGAGTCATGTGCCTAAGATGTTTCTCAGATACAGGGCAACAACACAGTTCAACCACAGAATTGACAGTGGTGGACTATCTCTCTGTTTCACTCTTGCTGCTCATGTTCCAAATCCTACCACCTTAAATGCTCCAGGTCCCCACATGTAGCCAGGAGAATCACACAGATTCATGTTAGACCTTAATAGTGCCATATTTTTAAAAATATTTATTTACACTAATTTGGTTTGTATATACATTTTACCTGCACATATTCTGCACACCACATGTATACCTGGTGCCCCCAGAGGACAGGAGACAGTGTTAGATTTCCTGAGACCAGAGTTATGGATGGTTGTAACCCAGATGAACCTGGATCTTCTGGAACACCAGCCAGCGCTCCTAACTACTGAGCTATCTCTTCAGCCACAGTATTGTCTTTTTTATTTCCTTATTGTGTGTATGTACAAAGGCCCCATTCATTTAATTACTGTTACTAATTCCCTTTCAAGTCATAGTATCTCAAATCTGAGATTCTTCTATTTGTTAATTTATTTATTTGTTTGTTTGTTGTTTGTGGTGCCAGGGATCACACTCACATCCTCTCACAGGGTTGGCAAGGGCTCTACTATTGAGCTACAGTTCAAGCCCCTGGATAAGCATTTTACTATGTTATCTCCTTTACAACTCAGCAGAAAAAAAAATGGAATCTTGAAATTTGCAGGCAAATGGATGGCACTAGAAGAAACCATCCTGAGTGAGGTAACCCAGTCACAAAAAGACAAAACATGGTATGTATTCATATATATGGATTTTAGACATGGAGCAGGGGATTGCCAGCCTACAATCCCACCACCAGAGAGTCGGGGAAACGGGGGGGGGGGGCCCAAGAGAGGCTTGCATGATACCCCGGAGATGGGGAATGTTACAGGATCTCCTGAGCAAATTGGGAGCATGGGGAGAGGGGAGAGGGAGCTTGGAGAAAGAGAGGGGGAGAGGAGGAAGGGAGAGGAGGACATGGGGGAACAGGAAGGTTGAGTCTGGGGAAGAATAGAGGAGAGCAAGATAAAAGGTATCATAATAGAGGGACCCATTATAGGTTGAAAGAGAAATCTGGCACTAGGGAGATTTCCAGAGATCTACAAGGAT